ATGTTATAAACCCGATGTCGTCTGCGAAGCGGAGGTGATGTAGGTAGCGGCCGTCGACCTTCACTCCCAAGTCTTCCCATTCCAAATGACGCATGATATTATCGAGAGTGGCACTGAAAAGTTTAAGTAAAATGGTATCGCCCTCCACGACACCTCTCTTCACGTTGATAATGACTTTCTTGTATAATGGTGAAATCCTGGTCTTGAAGTTATCGTAGAGCTCACGAAGCATCCTTATATCGAAGGCTTTCCTCAAATCGATGAACGTAAGACATAACGGCATTTTGCACTCTCGTGATACTTCAATGAGTCTTGTAAGAGTGTGGATATGATCGATTGTACTGAACCCTCTCCGAAACCCTGCTTGATTGCATGGCTGTCCTTCATCTAATATTCTGTCAATCCTGTTTAGGATGACACAAGTGAAAAGCCCGTAGATTACAGGCAGCAGACAGATTGGGCGATAATTGCCGATATCGTCTGGATCTCTTTTTTTACAGCAACCCAGTCTTCCTAGTTTTCCACGAGGTGAGCACTTTGCGTTCTGACAGATACCGCGTGAAGAGCCTAGCTAGAGTTCTGACGATGAGTGGTGGAAGACTCTTCAGATGTTCTGGTTTGTTTGGTTTGTTCTGGTTTCAGATCCAGATAGGCACGTAGGCGTGGCTGTCGACGCGATCCGAGTAGAAGTCGTAGATGGCCTTCTCCATCGCTCATCGAGATGCAGTAACTGTTCCGTCAGGACGACGAAGGGATGTCATCTCGGTCTCGTAATTGGCGAAGCTCTGTCGGGCTTGCGAATGCTCTTTCCAGCCTCGGCGGTTCGTCCATAACTGCTGCTCTTCCTTTTTCAGGTCTTCCTTTATTGCTTCTCTGCATAGCCTCGCAATTTCGGGCGTTCGTTGATGATTGCCTGTAGTTCGCACGATTCCACGCTGGTGTATCAGCTCGAGAGTTTTCAAAGAGAGTCGTCTCTTGGTTTTTTGTAGACTTTCTGCTTTTCTAGCGCTATCGTGAAGATGTTCAACGAGCCGATTGTATTCTTCATCGATGTTGTCGATAACGGAATCTTCCCATATATTCGCGAGGGAAGCGAAGTGGTACCAGTTGATGGAGGTCTTGGGGCTTCGTTTCCTAAACTTCATAGCTCTCTCCACGCACTGAGAAGCGGAAACTAGCGCAGAGGCGACGATGGTCGATCCTGTGTAGAACTTCGGAACAACAGAACGAACACTTGATAATTATCGTGCAAAATACTGAAGACCGCGATCGCTACACTCGTATATCCTTTTTTATAGCNCTTCATAACATCTTAGAGCACAATCGCGTTTCTGCATCAAAATAATAATCAAATGCGAACTGTTGTGACCTTGTTTATTTGTATTTGTATTTTTATTTATTTCATCAACATAACCAGACATTGCAATAAAGGAATCAACCATTCTGCGTGAAAGGACTTTATTGCAATCGCACTGGGGCTCTCCTTACGTGTAAAACTGCCTTCTCTTGTGAATAGGATGAACTAAGCCCTTCTGCTGGAGCTTCCTGCTCCAAAGAGCAGCAACAGCAGTGGGGATTGCTGACAACTTGGATCGTTACAAATGAAAACTTCGTTGGAATTCACTCTTGCCTTGCAATAACTCTAGACGACAAGTTCTTAGCAGCTGCCGCGAAGCCTGCCCTTACTCTGAACCTTTTAGATCCCATTCAACTTCCCCTTCAACAAGGCGCTGTTCGTCTATTCACGGTAATATCCCATTTCCGGATCTCGAGCCTTGCCTGCTCGTTCATTTCTACACATTCTCGCATTTATTTCCTGTCAGTTCTGCTTAAAAATACTGATGTTAAAAGCTCTGATAAAAATAGGTAATCCCTTCGCAATGATCCCTTTTTCTCCCTTTTTAGATGCGCTCGATCTCCACTCAGAACTACGATGCCATGTTTATTGCGGGCTTTGCCTTTTCCAATGACTTGTTGTTCAGCCAGGGTAGCTGTAGATCAATGGCTTCATCCACGAAGTGGAGTATTATTCTCATAACAGCTATAACGGTTTGTAGGCGCAGTTCTCGACAGTTTGAGGTACCTTTTGAGGGTAAAAATTGAAGCGTTAATGTAGAGCAGTACAACGGTGGCGAAGAAAAAGAGAAAATAGAGCGAAAAACTAGGCTTTCTCGAAGTAGTGGGAATAGGGTTTGTATGAGATCACCACGACGGGAATAGCATGTAAGGGGTGTTTGGACGAGATTTCACTTGCTTTAACTGCTCAAAGTGCTGACTACATCAGGCCGAAATTGTCCGATTCTGTCTTTCACTGTCGCCATGGGTAATGATAAGTGGTTTAAATCTCTTAAATGGGAGTCCCTTGAGATAGTGCAGCCTCTACGACGCCGTTAAAACTCGTCCACTATGGGTGTGGCATTCACACGGTATAATCTCTGGTTCCCTATGGTGCCCTATACAGGATGTTTTTCGTCCTTAAGTATGAGGAAATCTCAGAAAGCATTTTTATCGTGAACTGCGCCTTTAAGGAACCTTAGTCCGGGTGATTAGGGAGTAAGAAATTTTGCACGGAGAACAGAGCACAGAAAATTAAGCGTAAACACCTATGCGGATATATGCGGGAGTCCGATGCGGTGCTCATTTATCCCTGAATGTTGAAATAGTATGCCTTTTTAGCTTATATTCCACTGAAAGTTCTCAATAAATCTCATTTTCGTTTGCTCAAATGAAAGCTCATCAGCAATCACTGCAATGTGAACCTCTTCAAATTCCACATGGTTATATACTTGAACTTTTTTGAACCTGAGAATTTCCACCTTGCCGAATTCAAAAGTCTTATGGTCCTATGCCCAAAATTGCCCACCGTCACACCAATGACTTCCTCCCTTTTGACATAACTGTCCTCAAGTGGGCAACGCTCGGAAATAGCCCACATTCCCGAATCAATTTTCCTCATGTTCCAATCAGGGGAATCATAGCGGAACGAGCGAGACTGTCGCTCGCTTTTACAGTACAAGATAAAGGAAAAATAATCATTAGCTGGTTTCTATCGAATATCGAGTATATCTATCTATAAATAGAATATTTCTATATTATTTATTTATATTATAAATATTTCTATCAAGTGTGAGAAAGCAGAGCTCCTACCAACAGGTTCAGGATACCTTAATGGTAAAAAGGTGAAGAAGACCTGTACCTGAATGCTGTTTGGTAACCTCAAACCATAGATAGTTGCTACGCTCTACTTTAAACGATAAGAATGAGCAGTACCTGTCTGCAAAGCTTCAATTTTCACTGTAATTAGGTGGTGGACTCTCCCACGCCATGTGGAACCAGAAGCCCTCAGTTTGATCATAGTAGGAAACTTCTTGTACTGGCTGAATCTGTTTCTCGGTGGTAGGGTAAAAAATTCGTGCTTCAAATGTCCATTGAATACCGAATTCAGTTTTTGGGATGTGCGATAATGTAGTCGTGATCGTTATATACGGCCTCACACCACTGAGTATGAATTTGTTCATGAATATCCGAGCGCTCCAGCGCTATCTCTGGACATCAGCCCTACCATGCGTTCTGGTTGGGGCTACACTACTACTTCTACCAAAAGAGCTAATTTTGACCTTGAAGACCACAAATCCACTCCACGAAACCTTTTGTTTTGCTATCTATTTTGACTTCATGAAGCACTTGCGACCTGCGACCTACACCAACCTCCACACGTCACATCTGAGAATTTGTTGTGTTTCTGTTGGACAAAGTCAGGTTTTCTAATTTAGTGAAGTTTTGCGCTTGAAGTTTCCTTTTATATTTGCAATTCTCGTCCTCGGATTGTAGCGTGACTCGACAGAGCAGCTCATTCAGAATCACTCCCTCACGCGGCATTACATTCCATAATAACAACGAAATTTCGATGTGCTTGTCATGAGAAAAAGGTGAAGTTGATTAAGCTTGGTAAAGGCGATTCCCTTTTCTTCTGGTCCTTTTCACCGAGAACTGTTAGATTGAGGTCGGTGAAGTGTTCTTCTATAGTAAGTACATAATTTTGAAAGTAGGGCCCTAGTTAGTGCCTAGCAAAGCCTCACTTCCTATCCGCTTGTGTGGTGGAGAGCACGAGACCGTAAAGGTACAAGTGAAGGTNTAAAGGAGCATTCATGCTCTCATACAGTAGCTCAAAGAACTGGGGCTGTTCCCAGAAGAACCAATACAGTACACATTCATACTCCATCTAGTGAGAAGTACCTTCTTCAGACGGACATAATTCTTTTTGCTGTACTCTACGTTGCCACTTTGAAAAACTAATTTATTTCCGTTCCCATCAGAAACGAGCAGTTTTTTGAACTTCCGATGCTTCCGAAGCACTCCCAGAAATGGCTTCAGAAATGCGAATAGGAAGGAAACACATCATAGGGCAAAATTCAAGAAGATAGTTTGGATTCATGTTTAGCAGAAGAGGGGGGATGGAGAGGGGAAAAGGTGAAGGCAAGGTCAAAATTATGGTTTTGTGGGCTTGCTCATATTTGAAGTTTTCTGAATATTTTCACCTCGTAGGCGTCATCACCGAGACAGCCTAGAGATTGAAAAAATCGACTACGGCTTATAGAGGCGGTGAAGGTAAGGAGTAGGCAGGAAATGGAGCTTCCGATAGCAACGGGCATTTGCAGAGAATTTCATCGTAAGTCTGTATACTATAGAGATAGGATCTTTGTGGCGCATCTACAAGGAGTTTCTACTTCTTCGGTCTTCTTTTAGGAGTACTCTTGGCCTTACTTCGTACTCAACCTTCTCCTCCAGGCTCTCATTTCGTAGTACAGCATTTCATAATTACTGTTTACTCGCTCACGTTGCCGTTTACTTCCACTTTTTTAGTATTATTATTCAGATTAGACTTTATTTGTATTGCGTTCGCAGTACAGCATTTCATAATTACTGTTTACTCGCTCACGTTGCCGTTTACTTCCACTTTTTTAGTATTATTATTCAGATTAGACTTTATTTGTATTGCGTCAAAACAATATCTCATTCCATTCCTCTCGACTGAGCCCATAAAATCTCAACGCCTTTACAGAATTTATGGTTGAAAGCGAAGACAGATCAGTGAATTCGGACTGGGATAGCCTGTCGCTCGAAGAAGGTTCTTCTTCACTGGGAGTGAGTTGCTTAGCATAGTAATCGAGTCCTTCAACCAGTATTTTCAAAAAAGGGCTTGAATAGACAGTTTCGAAAATGATCCACGATTCGCTTCTTCTAGCCATCCATTGCACAGGGAGGTTCATTTCGGCGTCACCTCAATGGACTCGGTATCCCTCAAATCATACGCACATCACCAGCTCCATCAATTGGACGAAGAACGAGTAAGTCAATCGAATGGCAGTCTGGGAGGATTTTTTCCTGATTGTTACTAGTTTGGTAGTGGTTCTAGTTTATAAAATGCAATGTGAGTAACAAAACTGCGGTATTGGTAAACAACGAGTAAACACACCACATAGAACGACCATTCTTCTTTTTTGAAAGTTGTACGGTGATGTTGCAGGATAAGGATTCTGTCGAGAAAGTGTTAACCAAGTTCAAGCCGAATCGCTCTATGCTTTTCAAATCTTGTCCCTTGCTTATTCCTTTATTTATTTACTTATTTCTTTGCCCATTTGTTTATTTATTTGATTACCTGCTTAATTATTGGATCTGCCAGAAGTTAGTATTATATCCTTATTATGTTTATCTGCTTATTTATTTATCAAACTGTCACTCTTACACTTTCACGATAGGACCTATTGGAACAGGTGGTCTTGCTGCTAAATAGGTCAGTTCTTCACAAAGCTGGTTGACGTCGATTGATTCCCCTATGTACCTTTCATGATCCGTGAGTTTCCCACAGGTGGATTTCCTCTCAGGAGAAATCGCAAGGTCTGCTAGAATTCCAATTCCATACATAGACCTAGGAGTGTTTTGCATCCCAGGTTCCGTAGAGAATGAGAGCAGCTCATTCCACTCCATCGGAGTTCCTAGTCAGCCATTGTTCCGCCTTATTAACCAACGCTTACTTATTTTTGCCCCTGAAAAAGTAATTCTGTGCTCGTGCCACTTCGTTTCTTTTTCTAGCATCGTCCCATTTCGGAAGTCCTCAATTTGTTTCCTTTAATGTATTTACTTTTTCGACTAACTATCTCAAACTCCAAGGGTAAAGGTCTGAATGAATCTCAGGAGATAAATAACTTCAAAAGCGGAAGAATTCAAAATTCGAAGATGGAAGTAAATTAAAATCGAATAAATTTATTCAATAAATTTGAAGAACGTTCTCTGTAACATTAGATATATACGAGAATCCATAACTACTTCTGAAAACGCTTCGTTTCGTTTCAATGCAAAGTATTCTAGGTTACAGATTAAAAGGTCAGCCCAAATTACCTATTGCCCCTGCCGATTACGTCATGAATAGCCTAAAAGATGATGCCACAGATTGAAGAGGTAGGCTTCTTCTGATGGAGAGCCTTTTCCAGCATATTGCTTTGGTATTTGAAAAGAATTTGTAAACTGCGTTTATTTTTCCAAACCCTCGAGCATTTTTTTTTGAAGTCGCTGTGGAAATTCAAGAGCGTTTCTATAGGCCGAACACATAATCCTCTAGAAATTCGTAGTGTCAGTGCAATTTCAGAAAGCACCTCTTCCTCGATTTCAAATGCGTCTTTTGGCTTTATCAAGTTGACAGGCTAGCGTCAAGCTCAGAAGGAAAAAATACTCGGTTCGAAGGAAAAGCTCCACGAGTCGTCATTTCCAAAGACTGATCTCCCCTGATCGGAGAATTTTTGGTTGTTCTTACATTGTTCTCCCACCAATTGAACTGCTCAGAATTTCGTGAGATAGTGAGAACCTATCATTGCTATTGAACAAATGAAATGAGTTCCTATCCTATTTCTCCTATTTATTCCTATTTCTCTCTTAGGGCCCGGGTTCGAGAAAAGAACTTCCACAATTTTATTTCTATCGCTGCGATTGATAGGTATGAGCCGTGCAAGCATACATTGAACATAGTATTCTCTCGATTGAATATTTTTGGTGAGATTTCTAGA